ATCAATAAATTTAAGTCTGTAAGTCACGAATATCGTGAGTAGTATGCAAATATGAACGGTCTTAATGTTAGTTCAAGAGAATTCATCGAAAGATATGTAGGAAATCCGGGTTTAGAAAGTTTTACAAAACAACACAAGCCATACGTGCAAATTTGAGATCAATGGGATACCGCTTTACTGATGCATACAACTTTTAGATCAGACCAGTGTCATATAAAATAGAACGAAATTGAATGGCAAGCGGGTTAAATTGACATATATACCTGATCCATTATGTGCACTATCATCGGCCAGAGAAAGGCAGCCGTCTTTCCACTTCCTGTCTTAGCAATGCCAATCAGATCACGTCCAGACAAAGCTACCGGCACTGCCTGCGCCTGTATGGGGGTAGGTTGGGTGTATCCGGCCTTTCGTATGGCCTCCATCAAAGGCTCGTCCATACCGAGGTGTGCAAATGAACAGACTGGTCGTGGAGGGCTGGGCCCACTCACACGAAGACCTAGTTTTCCTAGAAGATCAGCGACGCCGACAGTTGAAAGTTGACTAATATCAGGATGCTCGACGTAAAAGTTTTTGGTGAATGGCGGATACTTAATGACACTGTGGTCAATCGGGGGTAGAGGATCTATTGCCTAAAATAAAGAAAAATAAATTTAGAACAGGGTGTAAAAAGTGTACTTAGTAGTTGTTTAAACATGCCTTCTTTTCTGCAGCAATTATATTGCCCTCGGCATCATACTCATATATCTCTTCTTCATCTCCAGTTAAGCCTATATGAGGGTTTTCTTCCATGAAACGGAGATAGGATTCAACGTTATCTTCCTGTTCAATGTCATCCCGAATCCCTCTGTTTTAAAATACAATAATGATACTATATAAATGCATAAATATGAGTCACACCAAAGATTAAAGAACTTTATTAAAATGTTATAATAAGAGGCGTAAGTAAATAGTGAAAAAAAATTTAAGAGTAAGGACTACTCCAGCATCCCTCTTAACCTATAAACAAAAAAGTATAATTATTGCAAAAGGTGTATATAGAGGGCAAATCTTATTATGCATCATACATTGAATGATAAAAAGATAAATTTGAATTAAAATGGCCACTCACTTATCATCTCTTTTTTTGGTACATTTTGCTTTCTTTGTATCTGATTCTACCAAATCATGAACCTCAGCCTAAAAATGATTAACAACAATTAATACCTTCATGAAGCAAGCAGGACAAATTATAAGTATAAACGAACCTCTACACCGGCCATAAACTTTTCGAGAGGATCATCAGAATCATCGGATTGGCTATCCTCATTTACAGCATGACCAGCAGCAGCGGGACTTCCAGGTGCAGGTTGATATTCCAGTGTGCCATCGTCATCGTCATTAAAGTAACTAAAATATATTGGTAAAGATATAATTTATTGTTTAAAAAATGAACAGCAAAAAAATATCTGATAAGTG